ACATAAACGCAAATAGGAGGAAGAGGAGAGGAGAGGCGAAGTAAAGGAATCCGTGGACCTAAGCATTTCTTTCCACTCCTTCACCTCATTTTACCGGCAAATTACATCTCCAAACTCCAGTTCTCTTAAATGCCGCTGTGTTAAAACGACATCGGAGCTACAAACTTCAGCAGGAGTGAACGATCGAACGGGCAACTCTGTCGATTCCACCTCATAAAGTCACTGTTCATGATCGCAACGAGGAGTGGTTCACGAGTTCCTTGTTCCAGAGGTACGGAATGTAGACTCTGTTTGTTTCCTGGAAAAAAAAAATACTCCTAATATAGATAGCTTGCAAGTGAATCGAATTGCTGGTGTAATAGAATCAGGAGATTAAATGCTATTTTGTTTGTGCTTTGGGTGGGAATGCAGATTGCAGAACCAGTATATATCGCACAAAGTGGAATCACAGAACATCACGCTTCCATTTGCTTGCAGGCACGGTAATATTGTTCTCTGATATCACACTATTGTATAGAATTGCTCGACTTTTTGATGTTTTCGTCACACCCACACCGTGTATACATAAAAGAAAGTGGATTTTAGAGGACAGTGTTATTACTTCACTAAAACCAGATGGCTATGGTCCAATAATATAACAATTAAACTGTGCCTGCCTATTATCTGGAAATGTTTTCATGTGACTGCATGCTGCTTCAAGTGTTTTTGTTTTTTAATGAGCTGCTTCTGCATTCATTTACGGTGATCAGCCAATAAAGGCTCTGAAACTTGAGGACCTGTACCTTGTATCTTCTTCTTCCTGGCAAATAAGCTTCATCGTATAGCAGTGAGGCCAATTATTGTCACCTTTGGTCCTGTTTCCATTTGGCATAAATGTGTGTCCTAAGGTTCAATCCAGAGGATTAATGAAGTTTTAAATTTTATCGTTACGAGTTTGCCATGGAACGATTTGAAAGACTCATGGTCAAACAAGATGTGAGCATTTAAAGTTTTTCTGGTCAGATATGATGTACTGTCTCCCTTGGTACGGTCTTTAATTTTAGCTTATTATGAAATCGAGTGGGGAGGGAGAAAAGAAAAGGAAAGAAGCGCATTCATACGTTCTATCCAGTAATCATCTTCCCCAACGAATAATTGCCCTTTCGCTCTCTGCTTGTTTGCTTATTTATCAATTCTTTCTTAGCTTTGTTTTGGTGTATTAAGTAACTTATAGCTCACTGCAGTCTGGCGTTTTCAGTGTCAATTAAACCTAGAACTTAAGTTTATACAAAAGAAAGTGCTAGTTTTATTAGTTCTCTTGCATGTGTGTTAAACCCTAGCAAATCAATATAAAAACTTACTTTACACTCTCTGATAGGCCATTTGGTGATAATTTTTTTATGATTTTTTCTAGAAACAGGGTTGCCTGTTTATTTACCCTGCAGCCTGCGGCTCTTGCTATTTTCTGGTTAAAATTGTTCGAGATAAAATGCTATGTGCTTGGAGGTTGTTGCACAAGTCGTGCTGTACTCGTAAAATCAGGACAACTTAGACAGCCAGAAGCTCCAGGGATCTCTGTTGAGTTGAAGTCGAAAGTCTGTGCCCTTTATTTTGGATTCCTTTATTGCAGTAACAGAAAGATTCTAAACATGACCTTTAATTTAGATTTATGGACATTATGCTCTAGGGACCTAGTAGAAGGGCAGAGTTTTGGATGTGCTCTTTACACCAACGTTGCACAATTTTGTGGAGGCAACAACCAAAAAAAAAAGGAAGACAAAGACAACGAAATTCTGAATTGCATATACCATGCCTCTCAATAAAGCACGATATGATTTCCTGGAATAAATATTAATATGAACTAAAAGGGTTCTTTCTTTCTTCTTTTTTTTCAATATATTATGTGGATTGAAGCAATGTTTTTTTTTAATTTTTAATTTAATCATTAAACTTTTATTTTACATAATTAAACTATTTTAAGCAAAAATTAGCACTCACTTGTACATTTTCATGGGGAGGGTTGAATTCTAAAATAAAAAATCAAAGTGAAAATCATGGATAACATAAATGGCGACATTGCAAATTGTTTAGAAATGTTTAGAAAGTACATTTTCATTCCTTATCTTTTTTTGTTGAAGATGAACTGTCTCTTTAATCTTGGCAAGATACATTTTGATATCAAAGTTAATTTTTCTTGTTTTTTCAGTTTTTTTCATGGAAAGAGAGAGAGGTGTCGCTGAATTCCAATAAAAAAAAAAACTTTTTATTGATGATAGTTATGACCACTAAACAAATTAAAATTGATGTTAATGGGTTCTACTAAGTGATGAAAAAATCTTATAATAATTGTGTTAACTTTCAATGTAGCCTAAAAAACTAGAACTAAGTCAATAACAAAGTATTTTTCTAATTTGATTCTGTGGTTTAGACTTTTTTTTAGTACGTTAGGTTGATAGATTGATTTACAGGTATTCTAAGGGTGTTTATATAATATTATATGGTTGAAATGACTTGAAAATCAATTTTTAGGTTAAAAAAATGATAGATTTAATTCTCCAGTCATCACACTTATGGCTGAAATTTAGGCTGATAAATAACTCGTTACTTAACTATTTTTTCCAAGAAAATAAGGTGGTTGACAAGTTGTCATATTTTTTAAAAAGTAAAAATAATAATAGGCCTAAACGCACGAGCTGAACTTTTATTGTCTTGATTTTTTTTTTTGTCAATTAGCACCTTTTCATGTCTTTTTTTAAAACCGTTTTCCAAGTTTTTTTTTTAAATTAACACCCCTTCCTTCCATGTCAATTTTCTTGACTTATTTAGTCCTTTTTTAAATTGTTATTATTGTTTTTTTAATTATATTAAGTGTTTTTAATTTTTAATAAGGTTAATATAATTCATCCATATATATATATATATATTTATTATAAATTAAATTTGTTTTGGAAAATTAAAAATATTTATTTTGTTATGATATTTTTAATATATGCAACTTTGCATGATGTTTTTTTCTTTTATTTTATTAAATGAATTTTTATTTGTTCTCAACATTTACTAAAAAATGATTTTAATAAATAAATTCATTAAATATAATGGGTAAATGACCCGTGTTGTGTTATTAAATATTTTAATGTATATATTTTTTTATTTTTCTAATTTTATTTTTATTTATCATTATTTATTGAATTATTCCAACTTCATAATCTAGGACGCACGACATATATATAATTTTAATGTATTTTATATTTAAATTATAAATTTTACATGTTAACCCAGCTTTATTCTAAATGATATATATATTTTTGTTGTTGTCTCATTTTTAGCAACGCTATATAAATTTAACAAGTATATGTTTTCTGTGGAATAACCACATATAAGAATAAAATTTTAATAGCTAAAAATGCTTATTAGAAAAAAAATTTTTCTTGTTTTTTCAGTTTTTTTCATGAAAAGAGATAGAGGTGTCGCTGAATTCCAATAAAGAAAAAAAAAGCTTTTTATTAATAATAGTTACGACCACTAAACAAGTTAAAATTGATGTTAATGGGTTCTACTAAGTGATGAAAAAATCTTATAATAATTGTTTTAACTTTCAATGTAGCCTAAAAAACTAGAACTAGTTTGATTCCGTGGTTTAGATTGTTTTTTTAGTATGTTAGGTTGACAGATTGATTTATATGATATTATATGGTTGAAATGACTTGAAAATCAATTTTTAAGTTAAAAAAATGATAGATTTAATTCTTCAACCATCACACTTATGACTGGAATTTAGGCTGATAAATAAATGCACGAGCTGAACTTTTATTGTCTTGATTTTTTTTTTTGTCAATTAGCACCTTTTCATGTCTTTTTTTAAAACCGTTTTCCAAGTTTTTTTTTTAAATTAACACCCCTTCCTTCCATGTCAATTTTCTTGACTTATTTAGTCCTTTTTTAAATTGTTATTATTGTTTTTTTTAATTATATTAAGTGTTTTTAATTTTCAATAAGGTTAATATAATTCATCCATATATATATATATATATTTATTATAAATTAAATTTGTTTTGGAAAATTAAAAATATTTATTTTGTTATGATATTTTTAATATATGCAACTTTGCATGATGTTTTTTTCTTTTATTTTATTAAATGAATTTTTATTTGTTCTCAACATTTACTAAAAAATGATTTTAATAAATAAATTCATTAAATATAATGGGTAAATGACCCGTGTTGTGTTATTAAATATTTTAATGTATATATTTTTTTATTTTTCTAGTTTTATTTTTATTTATCATTATTTATTGAATTATTCCAACTTCATAATCTAGGACGCACGACATATATATAATTTTAATGTATTTTATATCTAAATTATAAATTATACATATTAATCCAGCTTTATTCTAGATGATATATATATATATATATTTTTGTTGTTGCCTCATTTTTAGCAACGCTACATAAATTTAACAAGTATATGTTTTCTGTTGAATAACCACATATAAGAATAAAATTTTAATAGCTAAAAATACTTATTAGAAAAATAAATAAATCCTTGAGATGGAAAGAAAAACATAATAAATACAGTGAACAATCACCGTATTTGCAAGACAATCAAAATAAAAAAATAAAAAAAGAATATCCGTATAACCTAACAATTATGTTGTCGAATCAAATTTTAAATTGTCAATGCATCTCCTCTGTGATATCAGACTCCTCATGTTCATAAAATTCAGAATAAAAAAAACCCGAAAACGACTTAAAGGCGCAAACGCTATTAGTTTCCTTAACCATATAACAGTCAAGGGGTACATCTGAAGGTTTCACAAGTTCGAGACTTAACATTCAGAAGTCTTAAACTACAAGTACTGGAGTGGAAAATCATGAAAATATATGGACTTACCTGTAATCTAACCTGCTACAGAAAAGAAAAGACAGAAGAGTTGACAGACACGTGCCAGTGGACAGTGGCTCTGTATATATTTAAAATACTATTTCATCCAAAATCTTCGAATTCCCCCCTTTCTGCTATCACATGTATCTGCAACTGCCAAGAGCCAACATAGAAGAATATATATAAAAAGCCGGTCCCCTTTGTCTATTCACCAGAGGAGATTCTTACGCATCAGCTTCATCTTCGTTTTAGACAGAAAAAGAAGGGAAAATGGAGAAAGCAATCGACAGGCAACGTGTCCTTCTCGACCACCTCCGTCCTTCTTCTCCCTCCCATCACAACTTTGAATCTACTCTTTCTGTAAGTTTAATCGTTTGGTCGATATTTTAGCTGATATTTCGATTGTTTGTGGTTTAGTTTAGATCATGAAAGTTGAAGGATCGATCTGAAATTTTGAAAGTTATGAAATATGTTGCTTTATATTGTTTTTATCAATATGTTGAGATACATTGTTGTGTTTGACTTTAAGTTTTTTTTTTTTTTGAATAAAAGTTGGATTTTCATGACTAAATTAATTTATTGATATAAACTGGAGTGTTTTTAATAATTGGATTTTGATTGTTTGTGAATTCAGGCATCTGCTTGTTTAGCTGGAGATAGCACAGCGTATCAAAGGACTTCGGCTTTTGGAGATGACGTTGTGATTGTTGCGTAAGTAGTTCGTAGTTGAAATGAGATGATCTTGCTGATTTGAGCTTGATTTCTTGTGCATTTTAATTTATTTGTACTTTTGGTTATATAGAGCATATCGAACTCCTCTTTGCAAATCGAAGGGTGGTAGTTTCAAGGATACCCATGCTGATGATTTACTTGCACCTGTTTTGAAGGTTTAATTTTGAATTTGGTTTTGGTTTAGGTCATTATTTGATTTTGATTTTGATTATAATTTTTCCATTTTGGATAATAAGAATTGTGTTTGTTATTGTGGATATTGGTTGGTGCAGGCATTGATAGAGAAGACGAATGTGGATCCAAGAGAAGTTGGGGATATTGTTGTGGGTTCAGTATTGGCTCCAGGATCTCAAAGAGCAAGTGAATGCAGGATGGCTGCATTCTATGCTGGTTTCCCTGGTATGTTTCTTGAATTGCATCTTTCGAGGGGCAGTGGTTGCATTACTGCTTTATTGCTAACTTGATCGGGTTTTGAATTTGGTCCAGAAACTGTGCCAATAAGGACTGTCAACAGGCAATGTTCGTCCGGGCTTCAGGCAGTTGCTGATGTGGTTGCTTCTATCAAAGCAGGGTTCTATGAAATTGGTAAGAGAAATCCCCTGAAATGCTTTTTATAGTGTAGTATTTCATCGTTTTTATCATTTCATCATAGGAATTGGAGCTGGGTTGGAATCCATGACAATTAATCCAATGGCATGGGATGGAGATGTGAATCCAAAGGTATTTTTATACTTCTCTTTATATAATTAGTTTCAGAAGGTTTGTTGGTGAGCTTTTTTTTGTTATTTATTGATCTGGATGGGATTCTAAAGGTTATGTTGATTATGGCAGGTAAAGGATTTCCAGAAGGCTCAAGATTGCCTTCTGCCCATGGGTGTTACTTCTGAGAATGTGGCACATTGTTTCGGTGTGACAAGGCAGGAGCAGGATCAGGCTGCAGTAAGTGCAATTGATTTGCTATGCAGTATGCTTCAATATGATTTGTTGTATTACTATTCTCAAATTGTTGTTGATAGGTTGATTCTCATAAGATTGCCAAATTGTTGTTGTTAGGTTGATTCTCATAGAAAGGCTGCTGCTGCTACTGCTTCTGGAAGATTCAAGGATGAAATCATCCCTGTCCCTACAAAGGTATATTTAGTTGAATGGTTTGAGAAAAAAATCGATCCTGTTTATCTCATGTGCTTACATGTTGTGGTCATTATTGTCTTAAGAATTGAATATGTAATATCTGATTTTTGTTGGTATTTTCCTGTTTGAAGATCGTTGACCCTAAAACTGGTGATGAGAAGCCGATTGTAATCTCTGTTGATGATGGAATTCGCCCAAACACAACATTAATAGAACTGGGAAAATTAAAGCCCTTGTTTAAGAAAGATGGGACCACCACTGCTGGTATGCATCCTGTGCACTTTCTTTTTTTTTCAGTTTGTTTCGATCCACTTGATCATGTGGTAGTTCTTCTTCAGGGAATTCTAGCCAAGTCAGTGATGGTGCTGGGGCTGTGTTGCTCATGAAAAGAAGTGTCGCTATGCACAAAGGGCTACCAATTCTTGGTGTATTCAGGCATGTAAGTCCTAGAAACTTATTGTTTATCTCTATCATAAAGTGCAATAAACTAAAGGTAGCGGCAGATGGATGTGGTGGGCGACAAGATTATAAATCTAACACATCGAAGCAACAAGTCTAGAAGCATTCCTAATTTGTTGGGTTAGCTACCAGATTGCATTTCTTCACTGGAGAGGGGCGAGGTTGCACTATCATCATCATGCTGACCAGAGAATGTGGTTGTTGGATGAATTTGCTTCATGTTTCCTACAATAATCATTTTATAGAGGAAATGCTGTCCAACATACCTGTTGGCATGTGATCTTTTGTAGTCTTTGATCGTTTTATTTTAGTTCAGAACTTTTAGTACTGAAATAAGGCGTCTTGAACTTTTGGGTTCAAGGTATACAACCTCATTCAGGGCCAATAATTTCTTGTCCAGCAATTTCCCTGCAGCATATTTGTTATGTAGTTTAGGAAGATAGCCCTCTGCAAATGCATGTCCCATTGTTTTACTGGAGAAACAAATGTTTAGATGTCACTTGCCATCTACTTTGTCAGTTTTCATGCCCAACAATTAATGATGAGAATAAGTAATGGATTCTCCTCCTCATTTTTCATTTAAAATTATTTTGGCCATGCAGGACATTTACTGCTGTTGGTGTAGATCCTGCCATCATGGGTGTAGGCCCAGCTGTTGCAATCCCGGCTGCAGTGAAGGCTGCTGGTCTAGCACTTGAGGATATTGATCTTTTTGAGATAAATGAGGTAAAAAGAAAATGAATACTTCACAGTTATATTTCAGAATCAAACACCGCTTCAGGGTCTAACTAAATTTTGTTGTTCCTCATCAAGGCATTTGCTTCCCAGTTTGTTTATTGCCGTAAGAAGCTGGAGCTTGATTCACAGAAGATCAATGTCAATGGGGGTGCAATGGCCATTGGACATCCTCTGGGTGCAACAGGTACTTTCTTGTGGATAATTGAAGTTAAAATGAATTCCACTCTAATTTCTGGTGATAGTTATTCTAACCATCTTTCTATTCTTCAAAAGCACTATTAATAAGCTGGCAGGCTGGTAATAGCTAATAGATTGAAGTCAATGTTGTTTTGGGGAGAAAGAAGGGAATATGCACATCCAGTTAGGTGTTCTAATTTTGCAGGAACACAGTATCATTGTATCCACGGTGGAAACAGTTTCTTGCTGCATGTAGATCTGCTTAAGAGTTGCATAGAGCATCAAAAGTTTTGATTTTGTTAATGGATCGTTGTGATAAGAGCATCTATATATTAATATATGATTTTCAATTTAGACACGGAAATGAGGTGGATCAACTGTTAATCATTTGATCAGAGACTAATTAATTGCCTGTTAACTGTTACAGGTGCCAGATGTGTGGCTACTTTACTGCATGAGATGAAGCGCCGTGGTAGGGATTGTCGCTTTGGGGTGGTGTCAATGTGCATAGGTATTCATCCTCTCTATCTCTATGCGTGTAGTGTTGCTGGAACTTATGCTTATATTATCAGCTGTTGTCACTAAATGCAGGCACAGGAATGGGAGCTGCTGCCGTTTTTGAAAGGGGGGATGGTTGTGATGAGCTCTGCAATGGTCGGAAAGTCGAAAGCAACAACCTCTTATCAAACTATTAACGATAGACACACCGGGTACAGCATTGATATACGATAATGGCATATTGCAGAAGCTTTGATAATGCAGTTTAGGGTCACTATATTATTCATAATAAAAGTGTAACGAGGTAGTTCTATAGTCGCTTAAACAAAACTAGAAAGGCAGATGGCTTCTATTTTTATTTTCTCATGCCATGAACCACTCCTCATACTCGCTTAGCCTTTACTTTTTTTTATGAATTCAAGTATACATTCCGAAGTTTCTTGGGTTAATCACAGAGATGAATGATGATGGGAGTGGTGTCAAACGCTGGTGCCTGGGATCACTACACCATCCCAAGTTACTCATCTGATACATATGCCATATAAGAGCAATGGCAAAATGCAAAATTTCAAGGTAAGGATGTAGCCCTTCTGCGTGTGTGCATAATTCAGACGATTCTTTCGATTCTTTCAATCTGGACACAATTGCTGAACCACGTAAGACAAGAAATTCTATCGATTTGCAACTCAGTAAACAGATTAAGCTATCGGCGATACCGTGATAGAAAATGGGATTAATCTGTCTGCCAGCTTCTAAGTGCTCGCCTGATGGTTTATGGTTTGTTTTTAGTATCCTAGTACTTGTTTTTACATGCCTCGATGAGAAGCATGTTTGGTATTGTAGAATTGATAGCTTTTTAAAGTATTTTTTTTAAAATACATTATATTAATAATTTTTTATTTTTAAAATTTTATTTTTGACATTAACATATTAAAACAATATAAAAAAATAAAAAATAATTTCAAATAACAAAAAAATAAAAAAATTATTTTTTTTAAATATACTTTTGAAATACAAAAATGCGAAAACAGAACTACTCAGGTCAGATTTTGGCAAGCCACCCACACACTAACTACAATTCAAGAGACTGCAGCCTTACCCTTGAACTGGAACTCGAGACGATAACGTTGAGAACCCTAATGCTATTATATATATATATATATATATAATCTTTGTAAACAGGAGTCAAAACAAATGAATTTTTCAAATTTTGATATAAAAAAACTGGGAACAAAAACCCAAAAATTAAAATAACACCGAACAGCCCGTGAGTTAACAGCATTTAAAAGAGACGTTAAAAAAAAAGGGTCAAACAGATATGAGTCGTTAAACCCTAGAGATTTTTACCCCAGGAAATCTAAACCTAAATTACTCACAAAAGATTTAAACCCTATTCTTTTTTACAGAAATGGGTGTACAGATGAAAGCACTGCTCATCTACTTGACAAAGAACATTGCGCATCTTCATTTACAAATCCAGAAAAGCCTCTGCAGCAAGTTGAAATTTAGGGTATCCACACAAGTTGAACTAATCTCACTAAGAAGTCAATAGCAAGACTTGAACGGATGACCTCAAGTTAAACCATTTTCCCTATCACTTAACCGAGCCCTTCGAGGACTTGAAGGTTGAATCTAAAACGCGTTAGAATGAAGGTCGAATCTTAAAAGTTTTTATGTTACGATACATCTCGTGGCAGTTCATGAGCATCACATTTGCTCTTACTCCTCACAGCAATCGAATAGGACATGAAAACTTTGGATTTCATCTGTCTGTCCCTTGATGCTCCAGGTTATCTTTTCTAACTCCTTAACAGTGCAGGATGTCATTTCCCTTTGCGATAACTTCGTCAAAAATTTTGGTCAAGGACTCCACCCCTAAATCACAAGGGTTTGGTTTGGTTCAACCCCAGTCTACAAGCTAGCCCAACTGGTAGCCACAAATCAATTTCAAAATAACAGAAGGAAGCCTCCTGATGACCATCTATATTAAAAATACCATCTACATTAAAATTCTGATCCAATATAAAATGCATCATAAAAGAAAGAACGCACAGGTTTTCTCCAGAATTCAAGTGCACCGATTTCTGTTAGAATAGCAAAAACAGACATGTATAATCATTACCTTTCCTAAAGGTCAATAGCATATCGACCTAAAATGGGGCATCATCATAATTGAAGCACCGAAACTCAATAGTGCAAAATCAAGAAGTTATAGATGATTTGCAAATCGGGCATGATGTTTTTCTGCTGAGCCAAGGATCAATACACTGCACCAACAGAATGAATAAAGCAATCAAATGCTTGTGGTTTATTATAAAACATACAACAAAATGCTTCTTAAGTTGTAAAGAAAGAGATTCATACATCTTTGTGAAATTTGTGTAAACAAGGGAGATGACGTATTTTTTCTCCAATAGTTGGGGCTTCAAGGCAGACAGCACAGGTCTCTCCAAAGTTATCAGTCTGCATGATGCGTAGTAGAAGACAAAAAAGGTGAGCAAATGAACATGCAGAAAGCAGTACATGGTGCAAGCTAAATGCTTTCTTGACTTGAAGCATCCATGACATGGATATGGGCTTGGATGCTGATCAGCATACCTGTACCACAGACTCTGGCAAGCAGTTAATTTGATTGGCAGATGCACCATGTTGAGAATTGTTCTCATCAAGGGCCAACAGCATTTCATAATCATTCCTGCCAAAGAAAAAAAAGGAGTAAAGTAAGAAGCATAATATATATCTTAAACCTATACCCACTATGAACATTTTACTCAAAAAGCTGTCACCGAGGAGTCAAGGGAAAGGAGATGCAGAAATAGCACGCACCATTAAACATTAATAAAGAGAGTACAATAAAATAGCAGATATAAAGATCTAGATCACTATCAGATAGTACAATTTAGGAGAAAAATGTCAAAAATAGGGCAGCACTTCAGAGGATTGACTCTCAAAAACTTGTTCTGTTGAAGGGGATTGAAGTTTCAAACACGACAAAATTATTGACTGAAACCCAAATTTGACACGCACAACCTGTTCACAGAATTCCAAAGCTTCTTTACATTGTAGATAAAAAGTTTAACATAGAATGGCGGCATTTCATCGAACACTTAAAACCCATCCACACACAAAAGATACAGTTGAACCCAGGAATCCTAATTCATCACTGAAACTTCAACAAAATAGTTCAAATCAGTAGAGTGTGTTATCTATAAATCCTAACTTCGTCAGATGTTCCCCATATTAACCCAACGATTTGAAAGTGAAAACCACCTAGAAAGGTTAGAGAAAAGAGGATAATAATCTCAACAGTTGAAGTCACACCAAGTAACCATTAGAGTCGAAGACATATCAGAACTGGACATATCATCAAGCTTCATACTACTACATAGTGTAGCCTGCCTAACCACCAAACTATTTTTCACAAAGTAACTACTTTTCTAAATGTTCTGATCGTGAAAGAAATTCCGAATAATAGTCAAGAAAAGAACACTTATGAGTGATGACTGTTACACACGAGAAGCTCAAATTAATAATTTCACACAGATTTAGCAATGAAGCAAGTAAATCAATACTAAGGACTACTTAAAAGAATCACCCCTTATACTGACAATCTATTCAACTAACGTTATCTGCTTGAAGGCATCTATGAAATTTGCTGCCACCACAAGCAATTTCAATTTGTCATTGGGTTTCAGGTTGAAAGGCAAATACTAAGCAATTTCAATTTCAATCACATGATAGCTGTAGTCTCACTCACATCAATAAGTTCAAGAGATGGACAGGATTCAAATCAGATATCTTTACGGTCTGATTTTTCAAGAATACAGAAACCACACATAAAGAGATCTCAACAACACACTTGCTCAACTTATGTCTCCCAATGGTAAAATTTTTCAGCTCAAAAAAGTGAGTCTATCAAACCATTTTCATCCGACCAAATTATAGGCATATATGTGGTATGGTTTATTGCCAGCAACAACAGCTAACTCTTTTAAGCTGAATAGATATAAAATACAGGGCATAGAGTCATCTTTCCAAATGCTCAAGACAATCATATATAATAAATCAGTGAGCAGAGAACACAACTTGGCAAACATAAAAACATCTTACTCATTAAAATCACGCTGAACATGAAGCATGCGAGTAGCTGTCATTGAAGCCTCTAAATTTTCCAATATATCAAGTCTCTGCATTGAGAAGCAAGCAATCAATGTTACACATGCCAACCATTCACAGGATAAGATTTCTCAATGACAATAATTACAAATCACGAAGTTACATGAACAGAAAACCAGATGTAATTTGCTATGCAGGAAAAAAGTCATCTTACTTTTTTCTCATACAACCACAAGAAAGATATATGATTATACAACAGACAAAAGAAAAGAACTGCATGGAGTAAATATTAACTCGAGATACTTTCTCATCCAAAAATAATGCAGTAATAACTCCTGAATCAGTGCAGGTGATTGAATATGGTTGAAGCTTTGAGGATTTTGTGCGGTCCATAAGTGCCCAGATGATATTCTCTCTAAATCTCTCTTTTTGATAGATTCTTTGCTTACCGCCAATTAACTAAATTAAATTGCACCAGACTAAACAATCAATTCAGCCCCCAAAATCCTGATTCTTACTCCCAAACCCTTTTTAATAAACACCCATTCTCCTCTAAAATAATCATCTGGCATCCCACCATTGTTTCCCTTGCAGTCAATCATAAAACAGCGCTCTCTTGCTTCTGCACCAGTCAATCATGCTCTCACATCAAGGCCATCAGATCACGATGAAGCCTTGGTGACAGATGAGATGATTAATGATGCTGGGCGGAGAGAGGGGCTTAAATTGCATATTGAGAAGACTTATGATTATGCTAGCGCTTTCTCAAAAATGTGACTGGTAAGGCTTTTGGTACTAGGTAGAGAAATTGAATTAAGGTATGTTTATCCTATGTTATTTCTTCTGAAACTTAAAATGCAGGTGACCTCCAGGCTTTCATATAAAGATGAATAATCAGATGACTAAACAACATATAGTTGGTCACAATCCTCATCAATCAAAGCTTGGTGCCAGTGGCATGCAGTGGTAGAGCTAGAAGATTTTTGCAGGAGTGTCTGAAGCAAAGGGAGATAAGTCAATAGGGGCATCATGGGGCAGCCATGACTCTCAAACCCATCCTCAGACAGAGGCTCCGCCAGTAGTGGCGTACAAAGTAAAAAACTGCGGAAGAAAAGGCAGATAATAATAAGATGAAAAAAATGAAGGACAAAACACAAGGGAAAAACATACCATCAATAAATCCATTCCCGAAGGAAATTGGAAATTCAACCCTCCAGGGAATACTGCAGGAACGGGGTTCCTCTCTCTTGATATTCTTACAGGAGTCCGGTTGGACAAGCGACTCCTCAAGCCCGATGCTCGGGTAGTAGTAACTTGAACCTGGTTTCCTCTCCTATTTGAAGGGTTCTGAGAGGACCGAGGCAAGCGCTGTCTTGATGGATGTGCTACTAATGAGTTTCTCTAACAAAGTGAAAAACAGATGAAGTTATGGACAACTTATAGCATAAATCTAAGCAGGACCAAACAGCTTAACTGGAAAAAAAGGGAAGTCAAAGGAAAGCATCACAACCACCTAATTAACAACATTAAGCAAACACTAGTGGATATAAGTATGTGCAGTAGAACATTCAGGGGGTGGCATATGCTTCAAATTGCATGAGGACTGTTTGATTTAAAACATGTTGAAGTTAGCAAACTTTAATGCTATTTATTAAGACAATATAACCCAACTCAGGCCTTCATCAGTTTACTACATAGTAACACTCACTCCTCCAAGGTTCAGGCTGTTTAAGGCATTCCACCTTAAATAGAGAGAACATAGTTGATTTTAAGATCATAATTGAAGGGAGAAAGATGTGTGCCTTGAACCATCCAACCCAGTAGTCAGACCATCAGGATAAGAGCAGGCAGAACCATTGTTATAGTTAACAGAGAATCAGCATTTTCTTCTTCTTGTTTAATTGCAATTCCCCACTACCCTAAAATATAAGCTAGAATCCTTACATATTAAGCATTTCTTTTTCAGCCAAATACAAGCTTGAACTTCTTGATCATTCCAGTCCAACTTTCATGGTTGCCTAAGTTTGCTAATCATCTTCTGATTCTGCACGCCAAGGGATTGAACTTTGAAGTTCAATTTTACCCAACTAACAGTGAAGTAAAAGTTAAAACCTATATGTGCAAATGCATGTACCGGTTTTTAATAATAGAATAGAGCCCCAAGCAGAAGAATAGAGGTAACATGATACATGCATGTACGCTCATACACTATGTTTCTGCATTTTGGCTATACTCCACTCTCTTGTAGTGAGGTAGATCACAAAAATAACTTCATTGGAATCAAGGCCCAAGAGATTGCCATGACTTCTATCCTTGTAGTAGACTGTCTCATAGATTTCTAGTGATTTTGTAATAAAATGAGGGAAGAATTAGCAAGTCAGAGTAAGTTCAATATTGACATTATGAGAAGTCATTTAAGTTCAAAACCCGCCTAATTATACAACTCCAAGGAAAATATAATCTCAATTTGCCTTCTATTTATTTCCTTTGGATCAGAAATATGATCATTAAAACATCTTGTTTCTTTTTTCAAGTCGATGAAAACATCATGTGTGCATGTGTGAGTGAGAGAGACTCTGAATAGTTATAAGAACACCAAAAATAAAATCTAGGGACTCCCACCATCACAAACATGAAAGATATTAATAAAAGAAATATCACACTTTCCCAACCCAGCCACTCACAAACGAAACTAAAAATAACATAATGGAGGAATTAAAATGGAAGCTGCAGAACTATTCCTTGAGATTTTAAAAATAAAACTGGTCCTAGGTCCCTAAATTTGTTTGAACAAGAATACCCCATCAATAGCGTTTCTTATTCTCTTGAAAAATAAACTCTGAGTGACATGCAGATAATTGTCATAGATAATTATGAGATGCTATCATTGTTATCAAAAACAAATCGTAGATACCATCATTGATGAGCATTTACTAGAGCTTTCATGCTCAGCAACCCACTGAAATTAAAGCAGCGCACTTACAAGATGTGGAACAGGATGATTGTGACCAGAAGTAGCAGGGAGTGCATCTTCCTCCTGCTGCAGGACCCATGCTATATTTTCATCAATCTGTTGTCAATAAACATGAAAAGCTGACAAATAGAGTCTCTAACTAATTAGGTGACGTCAAGAAGGGAGAGTGGGAATACAATTGAAGAGAACAAACCTCGCCACCTCCAAATATTGGTTCCTCATGATATAATCGTTCTTGCAGTTCCCGAGCCAACATCTCATCAGCTTCCATTTGCCTTGCCATAACATCTGAGTCCTCATTACTTCTGGAACCTATTAATTGAGGATCATTGTTTCTCACTTCAGTCAACTCATCAATTTCATAAATTGGTTCTAGATTGCCATCATGTTGATGATCATGGACTCCAGATGACCTTGAGCTAGATGATCCCCGAGATGAACCAAGAAACAAAACTTCAGTGTCATCAGGAACCATTGTAGAGCATTCACCAGGATTTCTTGAAGTTAATCCATGCGTAGCAACTAGATTCCCAACATGATGTAGTTTTCCACCACTGCTACTATCTCCTTCCACTAATCTATCATCATGTTGTTCATTTGTAGAGCATCTAGCATGATCATCTCTTCCCAAAATACCCTGTTCCATATAAGCCAGTGGCTGATCTTGTGTCTTCGATCTTTTGTGTGTACTTCTCCAGCCACCAAATAATGCATCTCTATGGCCATCCCTGGATTCACGGGATGCTTCATTATTAGTTGCAGAACTTCTGCATACACATAATATGCTGTCATGCATGAGAGATAGAGTACCCATAAGAAACTAACAGGAGAGGAATCATTGTCCAACTTATTAATTATACAAGGAGATGGAAGGATTAAACTGACGAGTTTGAACAGAAAAATGGAAACGAAACCGAAAATAGAAACTCAACCAGCAGATAACTCTCCAGCACTTATGTGAAGGTAGAGCTCAATTATGATTCCATCAAATCCTGGGAGGGAGAGTTTAGGGAAAATCCTATCCTTCAGCATTTTTGCATGAAGTGGGAATGAAGGCGATCCAACCAGAAATGTGTGCAAGATAGATGAAATTACCTGGTCATGTAGGCATCATGCTCCTTTGATGCAGAAGGATGGACTATTGCCTTTTTTCCTTTAGCTCTATAACAATCATTGCCTTCAGCAACTATTTCCCTGAGGTCTGTGTTAGGTGGACCATCAGACAACTTGTTCCTGGCATGATTTCTTTTGTCACCTGGGGAGCCATCCTGGGAACTTTCAGCTAATTTTTGGGCTCTAGTGGCTATATTATGTGGAGAAATACATCCATTTCGCACTAATCTCTTTTTCCCACCAACTCTTGGTGAGGTAACAGATAGATGACAAGCAGGAAGCTGCTTTTCGATTTTGTGTTGATGACCACTAGCACGATCAATCTCTTTCACATTATTTGAAGCTGAACCAGAACCATTACATGTATTCACATCTATTTTTTCCTTTCCCTTAGAGGTGCTGCCAGATATTCCTGAAGGAAGAGGAGCCAGCTGTACAGAAGAGCCACCATTAGATGATAATTGACCTTCTCTTGTCTCTTTAGCTTGGAGATCTTTTGATGCACTGTGAGGAAAAACAATGTCGAGTAATCTGTCAGGCTCACTCATCTCAGTTAAATCAAAAATATCATCACCTTCCATGCAAAATGGTTTTTTAGAGGAATTTGCAGCACGGCCAGCTTTTGATTTTTCCACATACTGTACTCCTTTAGAATGCCTATTCTCAGGCCTGGAGTTATTAACTATTGCTGGCCTTCTAAATAAAGGCACATTCTGGTGGGGATGGGAATCCAAAGCAGAATTACTTGGAGAATCATATTCATCAACATTAATGGGACTCTTTTGAGGATGCAAATGAAGTCTTCTATTGAGCCCATTTTCACTAAGAATCCTACCCCTGCTTGTCCGTGGCGGATTAAAACTCTTTTCATCCACAAAGCCAGACTTTCTTAGACGACCAGGAATTGACGAAATACTTTCTTTTCTGAATTGTGCACCATTTATACTCCGTGCAGCTGCTCTCTCGGGAGTGTCAGGTATTTCAAATACCTGATCAGAATTCATATCTTCCATACTCTATCACCTAAAAGAGACCACAAAAAAAAAAATGCAACCAATCCAGTCTGTCAATATCAAAGAGCAATTTCCAGTAACAATCAACTTTGTCATCACCCAAATACTGAGGCAACAAAAGAACATAGACAAATGCACTTCAAAATACCTAAAAAAAAGAAATTCAACAATTAAATGACTAGAAAGTCACAGAAGGCATAAAATATCCTGACATGTAGGAGGTAAACTAATGAATGATTAGCTGCAGCATCCAGCAGAAGCAAAACATAAGCTAGCAGGTTACAGGTAGAATTGCCAAACATACGTGATGCCAAACTTCAACACTACCACAAAGGGAACTCCTTTACATGAGCTTTTATATTTTAGGGTTTAGAATTTAGAATTCCTGAATTAGCACATAATGAGATGCAATCATCAAAGCATAAAAAGTATAATATAGCAGTAAACAAGGAAATGACTCAAAGTAGAAAAGAATGACCTGAAAGAAACTATAGCTATAAATGATAAAAGATTCAAACTTTCATATTCAATTCACTAAATAACAAATACCCAGCTAAAATTATTGACACCAAAACCCATGTATAAATTAACAAAAAAAAATATTTATAATCAAAACTACATAAAGAACTAATTCAATTGAAAAATTACATACAAAAATTTCCAATATAATTTCCAATATAAGAAAAATAAATCATCAATACAGAAAGAAAGAAAAATAAGGTTAATTTAATATATATATATATATATATATAATTCTTCAAAAAGAGACGAATTTTTTCATCAAAAGAAAAAAACTCAAAGAATCGAAATCAGACAACACATAATGAGCGATTAATTGAAGACGTGAATTACTATTCTTGCAAATATTTAAAAATAATAATAATCGAAACTTTAAACCAAAAGGGAAAATAAGACTTGCATTAAACGATCAATCAAAACAATTGATTAATTTATTAATTACCTGATGATGCTATTAAAAAACTAAGAATCGAAAATTACACCAACAAAATAATTTCCATGCGCTTATCTGATCCTTCTCTCTCTCTCTCTCTCTCTGTATTCAGGTTTAGGCTGCTGTCAGCGGTATAATGGGCCGGGTTTAGGTTAGGTCCAAAACAAATTGAAAGCTTAACCTGACCAGGACCAAGACCAAGCCCAAGCTCAGCAGATTCACCTAAATTTTCCAGTTTCCACCACCACGACACCAACTTTGTCCTTGTAGTTAGTGAAACTAGTAATAGTCCTCGTGGTCTTAAGACTTATATCGTGCATCCCTCAAAATTTTGAAATTCTTTATCACTTGGAAATCTTTAATTTCTATTTTTTCTCAATTATTAGATTTTGAAAAAAAAAAAAAACAATGTGAGATCAGTCTTGCAAACTCGGCTCAAGTTACTTAATCAATTAAATGACCCACCATTCTAGAATCTTGCTCGAGTCTGATTTTATTTTTAATTAATTTTTGTTTTACCAAAAAAATACTTTAATTGTTTTAGAACATAATTTTGTGGTGATCCATGAACACACAAATCAATTCATGATGCAATTCTTAATCAAACTTGAAAACTGATATTTTTTGAATGTTTAACGTGAGTCAAGAAATTATTTGAATAATGTTAATATTAAAATTGATTAATTAGTTTTAATTACATGTATGTGTATGAAAATATTATTGTGGTTGTTTTTGAAAATATGTTTTATTTTAAAATATTTTAAAAAATATTTTTTTATTTTTTAAAAATTATTTTTAATACTATTAAATTAAAAAAAATGCTAAAAAATTATTATTTTAAAATAAAATTAAAAATTAAAAAATTTTAAACCTATTCCATAGATTTTTAATATGAAAACAGTTATGTACTAAATTATAATTAAACTCCCAGGACAACCCAATTTCAAAACCATAAGTCCTGGTGGACCCCTATAAAGAAAACTAAATGAATTCCTGGAATTCATTTTCCTTACTTTCCCATGTTTAGTAACAACATGAAAAAGTAATCAATGAAAACTTAATTCCGGTCAACATAAAAAAAATGCTTTATGAAAGGAAAGTGGTTTTCTTCTTTTTAAAAAAAGAAAAAAATTTTTTTTTTTTTTCATTATCTACTTTTACAAATTAACGATTTGTCTCTCTTTTTCTTGAAGCATTTCAAAAACATTTCTTCTGTGGACAATTGAAGCATTTCACTTGAACAATTAATTTCAGGTATTTTTTTTATTTCCTTTATGTTTTTATCTTCTTCGTAGATCTGTAAAAATTATTGTATAATATTTCCATAACACAACAATTTTTCCATGATAATTTTCTTCTTTATCACTCACATTCGGCAGTTTATTCTACCCAAACAAACACCATCAAATGCAGAGAGAGAGGCACTTGAAAATCCCCAAACTATGTTAATCAATCTTCCCCGGCAAAAAAAAATCCCCTCCCTGTTACCCCATCCCCGAAAGCATTGAGAATCAACCCTTGCTCTCTCTTTTTTTTAACAGCAACCAGGGGAGAATCTGGGAAGGAGGAGCCCTGTTGCCCCTTGAATGTTTGATATTTGTCCTGCTTTTTTGTCTTAAATATTTGCTT